CCCCACCCCTGCAACCTCCCCTCCTGTGGTTTTGACACTTGCATAGTTCTTTATTTCTCTCAGGGGGATTTTTTAACCGTTCTCTCATCGGATGCCACAAGCTTTTATTTTAAAAGTCACACAAATTTGTTGTTCTTTTGCCAAAAGAACTTCACATGCATTTAATCTCGATTGGCTGGACGACCTGGGAGGAAGTTGGGTAGTCCTGGGCCCAGAACAGTGAACTCACATTTCAGTTCTCTCCTCCTTCTCTCCCCTTCGCCAGTATCTCTGTCTCTTGTTCACGCTGTGCCTTCACTTTTTACCAGATCCTCTCTTTTGAAAGAGCTTGTGTTCTAGTTATTTAATCCTTATCTACCCGTTAAAGGCGTAGGATATTTTTTTTTTTTTGAGTTGGAGTCTCACTCTGTCGCCCAGACTGGAGTGCAGTGGCACGCTCCCAGCCACCGCAGCCTCAACCTGCTGGGCTCCTGCAATCCTTCCACCTCAGCCTTCCAAGTAGCTGGAACTACAGGCATGCGCTACCACTCCCAGCTAATTTTATTTATTGTAGAGATGAGGTCTCGCCAAGTTGCCCAGGCGGGTCTCGAACCCACGGGCTCAGGCAATCCACTCACTTCAGCCTCCCAAAGAGCAGAATTACAGGCTGAGCCACCGGGCCCTGCTGGATTTTCTTTCTGTGGAAAATTTCCAGGGCTCCATGAGGGGCAGTTTGGTAAGCGAAGCACCTTTAAATCCCAAAAGCCTCCTTGGATTTTGATCCAAGACACAAAAATCATCTTTGCACTTTTATCCAGTGGTAGACTTTGCCACCACTTCTCATTTCTCACCACTCCTCTACACCCCCTGTAAGAGGGGCTGTCTCTGCTCCCATCCTACAGATGAGGAAGCAGGTCTGAAAGGAAAGGCGCTGGACTCGGTGGCTCAGCCTGTAATTCCGCACCTTGGGAGGCTGAGGTGAGTGAATTGCCTTAGCCCGCGGGTTCGAGACCCGCCTGGGTAACTTGGTGAGACCTCATCTCTACAATACATAAAAAAACTAGCCGGGTGTGGTAGCGCACGCCTGTAGTTCCAGCTACCTGGAAGGCTGAGGCAGAAGGATCGCCGGAGCCCAGCAGGTCGAGGCTGTGGTGGCCGGGAGCAGCCATGGCACTCCAGTCTGGGCGACAGAGTGAGACTCCAATTCAGAAAAAAAAGAAAGGAAAGGCAACTCCATCTTCTCCCCACCCTAAAGCCCTGACACATGGCTGGGCATCCAGCTGGCCCTTGGTAGGTCAGGTGGGACTGAGATGACTGAACTAAGGTGATGCTTCTAAGTCCTAAGTCCCCAGGGGCCCTCCCGTTCATTCATCCCACAAATACATTTATTGTGCACCTTCTGTGCGTGGGTACTGTTTTAGGTCTTAGGGGATAAGGCAGCGGAGTAAACAGAAACCCTTGTCCTTGAGGACCTTACATCCCAGTAAGGGAGAAGACGAGTAAAATATATGGTGTGTTAGATGTAAGTGCTAAGAAGAAAAATAAAGCAGGAAGATGGGACAGGAAGTGTTGGGAAGTGTTAACATTCAGACTAGGGAGAGGCTTGTCAAGAAGACACATCAGCAAAGAATTGAGGACACCTGCAGGAATTGAGGACGGGAGCCATTCATCCTCCTGCCTTTGAGCACGGCTGCCACCTCCCTCCAAGGACCTTCTCCTGCCCTCACGTGGGTCCCCTGGTCCAGAATAGGGCTATGAAGTCATTGACACAGTCATCAAACATTGCCCCCCCCAGGACTCCATAATAAGCTCGTTTGTACTAAAGCATTAGCAACTCTCAAGGAGAACCCTGGGTGGGGACTGAGTTCTGAAAAATCCCATGAGGGAATGCCTTATCTCAGGAAGGTGCCCCTGGGTAGGAACCACTCTCCTCCCTGCCTTTCTCCCCCACAGAAATTGAGTCTCACATTATAAAGCAAGAAGACATACTTAATGTCAAAGAGAATGAGATTAAGGAGTTGCAGCAAGTTATCAGCCAGCAGAAACAGATCTTCAGGTGAGGGGTCCAGGCCAGACCGGGGGTTGTTGAAAGTGGGGAGCCAGACCACGGCCCATGACCAGCTGGCTCCGTTGCAGGAATCACATGTCTGACTTCCGGATCCAGAAGCAGCAGGAGAACTACATGGCCCAGGTGCTGGACCGGAAGCACAAGAAGGCCTCAGGGATGCGTCAGGCCCACAGCCACCAGCGTCTCAGGGAAAAATAAAATGGTCATTGCCTTCCTGCTATCTGGCTATAATGCCCAGCTCTGCCTTCTCTGCTCTGCGGAGTCTCCAATCCTGCCCTTCCTTGTCCCCATGGGACCCCTCACCCCAGACCGCACCTCTAGGGAGGGGGCAGGGGAAGAGGCAGCAGGCACGTCTTCCTCCTGGGCTCTGGAGATCCTCAGGAGAATCAGGTCACCAGGGACTGGGTGGAAGACAGGCCTCAGACGGTCTCAGGTCAGAAGGGGAGCGACTGCAGCCTCCAGCCCCTGCCTCAGGCAGTGGTAGGTGTCCTTGGGTGGGGAGTTGCAGCCTAGGAGAGTGGCTGGGGCTTTATCGTCTAGTAGGCTATGCCCCTTAATTTTGGTATTTCATCTCTTCCTATACAAACAGCCCTGATTATCTAAGGAACATCCCACGCCACTCCCAGGGCCATGGTAAATTTAACTCTCAGCTTGGCTATAGGGAGGGAAAGAGAGAGTGTGTGTGTGTATGTAAAGCCCTGACCAGAAACTTCAAAGTGGGTTCCAGGACAACAGTGAATTTCAGAAATCAATTCTGATCACATAAGAATGATGGGCAGGGCACAGTGGCCCAAGCCTGTAATTCCAAAACTTTGGGAGGCCAAGGCAAGAGGATTGCCTAAGCCCAGGGGTTCGAGACCAGCCTGGGAAACTTGGTGAGACCTCATCTCTACAATGTATCAAAAAATTAGCTGGGCATGGCAGCATATACCTGTAGTTCTGGCCACTAGGAAGGCTGAGGCGGAAGGATCGCCTGAGCCCAGCAGGTCGACATTGGGGTAGCCGTGAGCATACCACCGTACTCCAGCCTGGGTAACAGAGTGAGACTCTGACTCAAAAAAAAAAAAAAAAGTTACATGCGTGAATCACATTTGCACCTCATACATCTTACCCAAACAGAAGCTCATTGATCTTGACAAATGGGAGGAAGGGAAAAGAGCCATGTGTCATTTTAAGGAGAGAAAAGTCTGGGAAAGGAACATAACCTGCTCCAGTTGCACGGGCAGGGTGGTTGCAATGGACAGGCTAGATTCAGAAGCCATCACAGCATGAGGTGATCAGGGGACACACCCAGGCAGGGGATCCTTCTGGGGACTCACTTCTGGGAGGCAGATTTGCCAGTCTAGCCCTTCCTGGGTCAGTGCAAAAGTGAGTGCACAGGAGGGACCTGGGCTCTTGTCCAGGGCCAGCTGGGGCCTGAGTCATAGCCGGACCTTGAAACCAGAAGTTTGAGGGCAAGTGATTACCATTGTCATACGACAATGACAGGTGGTGGCTGCTTTGCGCCTCTCCCCACCACAGGTCCTAGGATCGAAGGGGCTGAAACGAGGGGCCTTGTGAGTCCTGCGGGACTAACAGGCTGTTCTTGCCTCGGGGGCTTGAGGTGGGATCACAAGCTACCTCAGAGGTTCCCAAGGGGCCCACATCGGTATCCAGGGCCCACATCGGTTCTGGGTGCCGAGGCAACCTGGAAGAGCTAGAGCTGGCCACTCCAGCCCCTTCCCGTGGGTCCCAGCCAGGGACAGCCCCTTCGCGAGGCCCTGAAGAATCCGGGGAGTCCTCTAGCAGTGCTCCTCACGCTGTCACAGGTTGTGAGAAGGTGTAACTAGGGCCAAGAAAGGTGGTGGGTGCACCCTTATGAGCTCTAGCTGGCGCAGAGGGAGGAGGGTGCCCTGCAGTGACATCAGGAGTGGGGGCTGAGGGGAAGATGAAATGCCAGCAAAATCGGAGTCACCTGGCTGAAGGTCTGCACGCCTATTGCTTGACGTCAGGCGGATCCCTGCTGGGCCTCGCTTCCTCACCTGCGGTGGATGGAGTTGGGCCTAGCTCCTGGCTGCAAAGGTTCCGAGGCTGGGCCTGCCTCTCCCTTTGCCTGTCGGCCAAAGCTTGGCTTCCCAGTCCAGGTGCGCCGGCAGTGCGCGAGAAGCGGGTGGTCGGCCCGGAGCGCCGACAGGGAAGGCCGCGGACTCGGTCGAGGCCGCCGGCGGCGGGTGGCTGCGGCCGCTTTAAGGCGCGGTGACCCCACGGCC